CTATCCGAAAATGTATCATGACTAGCACACAGGTCATCCTGACTTATTTTTATGTGGCGGGTGTCCTAATGACTTTTAAGTGTTCATCCCATGCCCATACAAGTGTGGCTTTTTGGTGGCTGATGGATAGAAAAAGAGAGAAGGGGAGTCTCTCACCCCTCAGGGCATAAACCTCTCTCAACAGTCAACCCAGAGGTGGTTTCCAGTCCTATGAGAGAGCAGTCCACACTGAGAATTTGCAGTCCCACCTGCTGCCCTGCGTGGGCTGAGACAGAAATAAAAATGAAAACAAACGAGATAAAGAAAAAGAGAGTCTGTCACCCCTGAGAGCTTAAGGCCCTAACGAACTGATCCAGAGGTAGTTTCTAGCCCTATATAAGTGGCCCATACTGAGAACTATCAATCCTGCCTTGATAAGCACACTTTGGCCAAGAAACTCAACAGAAATAAAAAAAAAGTGACAAATAGGTCAAGGAACAGAGTAGAGGGCATCCCCAGTTAGGGGCTTCCATCTAGTTTGGCTTGCCATAGTATATGTTGCTAGATGGCTTCAGTAATGTCCGGGTTCTTGGTATTTTAGGTAAAACATTAAAATAAGTCATGAAAATGAAAGCAAAAGGTGGTTTATTAAACAAAGCGAAAGTTCACTCCTGAGAGGTAGTGAGGACCCAAGTGGAGAGAGGGAGAAAGTGGTTGGAGGGCTGAGATGACTTGAAAATAAATATATAATCTCTTCAATATTATATACCTTAACCACTACTGTAATTTATAAGTTTTTGGCAGAGTTTTTGAGATTGAGCTTAAATTTATACATATGAAGGTACACTAGCCGTTATATTCAAAACCCAAGGAACAAAAACCATACAAAGAGATTCCTACCTACGTGCTGAAGAAGCTACGGAAAGGGTAATGGGAGCCACTTGTTCTGCCTGGTGGACATTTGATTCAGTTGTGCCAACTGGACGTAGCGGAGGGGCTGGAGGAAGGAAAGGGAGGTAACTTAGCAGTGGGATGTTCTGGGCACAGACAGCAGCAAATAGCTGGCAATAGTGAGGCAGGCTCACAAAGGGGACAGAAGACGCACGACAAGAGCAGGGAGAGTTAGAGGCTGAGTAGGAGGACAGGCATATGAGACGTAGGCTGGGTGCAGTAGGCAAGTCTTGGTGGTAAGATGAATAGCATACATTTCATGCAGTGAAGCAAGCTGGGAAGCCCAAGATAATGGCTATGTTACAACAGTCTAAGCTGCTTAAAGCGTAGATATTTAGACAAGGAATTTGGAAAAGAGGTTATGAAAGTTATGAAAGAAAACACTCGAAATTTAGCTCAAGTATTCAAGTGTGTCTTTCGTGGTTGTTGTAAAGAAATGAAAAAAGGGCTGGCCACACTGAGTAGCAATGAAGTGCTACGTGGAGGGACCTGGATCCCACATGGCTGACTATGGTTCAAGCCTTGGTCCTGGTGGACTGGAAAGCACGCCAAGTGCATGTGCACGTGCACATGCATCTGCCACCCTGATGTGGGACTACAGCACAGCCAGGCCCACCGGGGGCAATTTCTCTCCCTCTGCTTTGTGAGCATGCCTGCTCACTGGAGTTAAAATAAATACTAAAAAGGTAACAGGGACTTAGAGGTGCCAGAGTTGCTCCTAGTTTTTACACTGCTTGAGTAATAGCAGGAGAAAAAGAAAATGAGGCAAATAAACTCAAGTTTAGAAATTTGAGAAATAGTCATGTGACCAAATCTAAAGAAGCTAGCTTACAACTGTGGTAAATGAATGGGATCCTAACTGAATTGAGTGTGTAACATTTTCTTGGCAACTTTCCAGTAACCAAAGTATTTAGGAAGACACAGTAAAAAGAAAATAAAGAAAAATTGTGATATAAATAATAAAGACAATGATTTAAAAGATCCAAAAAGCTTGAAACAGAAGGGTTAGTGTATTACAGTGACCAGCCATGAGTCATTTGATGCATTAAAACAATTTTCCCAACTACAAATTTCCTAGGGATTTTTAAAATTAAGAGTAATTCTAGTGTGTTCAAATAGCTAACTTTTTTTCAGAGTAAGTTTTAATCTTTTTTCATTTTTTTAGTGTACTAAAGGGCACATGTGCTGGCCAGACAGAGGCAGGGACGGGGAGAGGTATGGAGTGAGAACCCCCCCGCCCGGGGAGTGTGGGGGGGGGGATGGCCATGGCGCAATCCTTCTCCTTTCGGGATTTTGGGCATGTATGTGCATGAGCCGGTGTGCTTTTCAAGCTGCTGGTCTGGGATTCAACCCGTATAGTCAGCCACGTGGGATCCAGCCACCTTACCCTCCATGCCATCTGCTGGCTCCAGAAAATGTTCTATTCTAATTGGAGAGATTTTACTAAAACTTTTACCCATTTACTAGTCCTTAGTAATTTTAAACATAAACTTGGTAATGAAGTTATGTTTTCATCATGGACTGCGCTTCTAGATCCATTTTTTTCTGGGTGTATTCTGAGCGTTTAATAAGTACAGTATCATCGACCTTATGCAAAGACAAGGTGGACATTCCAACAAATTCACCACTTTCACCACCAGAGGGAGAAAAAACACAAGTAGTACCTATTTTAAAAGGAGTTCAAGGTTCCAGGTACTTTACCTAGATTTTCCACCAGGTGTCAACCAAGAGAGGGGAAAACTAAAAGAGACTAATTACCACTCAAAAACACAAATTCATCATTTTAAGTATAACAACAATCTAAACTCTGAGATAAATGGTCAGCTCATTAGTTCTCCTAATGGTTTGCATATTTAGTTTCAATATATTGCTGAGTCCAAGATACTGCATTGTCCTCAAAAATCCAACTAAATAAAATTTAGTTTCTTCCCAAATAAAGAAAACAGCAAATCTCACAAGTTTAATTTATTGTGACTCACAGGCCCAACCTATCCAGATAAACTACACAAGGCAAGCAAGTCTAAAGTGTTTAGACACAGGACTGCGAAAGTATTTTTGTTTAGAATTATAGTTCCAGATTCTATTTTTTTCTGTTTCTTCTCTGAACAGTTTTGTTGATTGCCAATAATCTAAATGTATTTGTGGTGTTATGCCCTGAATCCCAGTGTGATCTGATGAAAGCACTATTTTTTTTATCAAAACATTCACATCTAAAAGAAAAATGCATCAATCTTCATGGATGTATCCTGACCATTACTATGTTGAACAGACCAAGGCTCTCAGCAAAAATTAAAAATAAAGCTTTACAGAATTAAGCCCTTTACATGCCTCATGCTTGAAAAAACTAAGTAAATAAACAAGTAAATAAAACCTCTAATAGACTTGGCTAATTTCTAGATTTTTCTATCTTGTTGTAAACAATATGTCAGCTAAACCACGAAGTCATACTGCCTTTTATAAGGTGGTACTTTTTTAGGCCGAACTCTATTCTTACTCCTCTGGACACGGGAGTGGTAATCATGTCCTCCCCTGCAAATCTAGGTGTAGGTGGTGTCTAAAAAGGACTTTTCTTCCTTCGAGGAAGTGGTCAAGCCTCCCCTCCCTTCCCCTCACTCCCCCATCCAATGTCATCATGGAAACTACACTTGGCTTTTTTGGTTTTGTTTTTATTTTTCGGTGCTATCTACTTAAGACAGCAGAAAGCAAAGGTTATTAAATTATATTTGCTTCTTTTCTCCAAGGTTCTTTGGGCCTCCCCTGAGCTCACGTCCACCATGCCTACAAAATACTGTTTTGTCGGGTTTTCTTTTAAGCCCAGGCTGAGAATACTTGACCAGAAACAATATTTCTTGACTGGTTTTTATTGCGTTTTCTTTTGAAATTCGTTAGATTAGACTCAGCAACCATTCGGTTGCCCAACCGGTTTCTCCCCATCCCCCGCTCTCTCCACACATCCCCAGTCCCTCCTCCCATCCAGGGAGTTGGCTAAGCCCCGCAGTGCTGGTAACGCACGCGGCGGCCTGGTCACTCAGCGGTTTATCCTTACTTGGCTTTGCAATCAACTCCCCACCCAGGCCTTGTCCCCTCGTGCCCTCCTCTGCCATTATCTCTCTATTAGAGTGTGCTCGGTAAGGGGCTGCAGACTGCACGTCGAGGGTTTACGGTAGCCTGCCTACCAATAGCAGCGCGCAATGAAGAGAAGTCAGGTTCAGCCTCCCGGCAGCACCAGTACCTCCTCCCCCAGCTCCACACCTACTGTACCCGGGAGCGAG